GGACCAGGTGCTCGGTACACTATAACGAAGAGAATTGGTTGCAGGGATTTCCAACTTGGGTGCGAAATACTAAGAACAAGGCTTTCAAATGAGTTATAATTTAGTTTAGGTTTAGAGCTGATTAGTAGGCTAGAGTCGAAGATAGCTGCAACTCCAACTCCTCGGCCTGTGCCTCGAGTAATGTGAGTATTAATGACTGGGAGGGGTGGATTCATTTAGGCTAACATATTCTCCATCACCCAGCCAAGTTTCAGTAAGACAAAATAAATCAATATCATAATCTGATATTAGTTCATTTACTAGTACACCTTTAGAAGAGAGAGATCTGATGTTTAAGAGTCCACATTTAATTATCCTATTGTTTTGCACTATTGCTCTTGTGGTTTTAATTTTTATGAGGTTTTTATGCACAGCTCCTCTTCTGTTTACCTTTGATTTAAATAATTTCAATGGTCGGGGGACAGACACCGTCACTATAGGGTTTTCTCCCGAAATGGAGGAACAGAGAAGTGTGTTAGGCTGCGACTCTGCCTCCTGGTCTCAACTCTGGGTTGTCATGGATTTGGTCCACTAATAAACTTGGCCAGAAATTAGAGCTGCTCCTTCCCAAGTGGGATGGATGCCGTCTCTCCGTGTCAGACCAGGTCTTCCCCAGAAAGTCTGCCAATGATCTACAAAGCCCACATCGTTTGCTGGACACCACCTCAACAACCAGTGGCAGAATGACCCCATGCGGCTATACATGTCATCACTGGTCAGATTTGGTAGGGGTCCAGAGAAAACTATGGTGTCCGACATTGTTTTTGCATATGTACACACCGACTCAACATTAATCTTAGTGACCTCCAATTGGCGTAACCGGGAGTCATTACCGCCGACGTGAATAACAATCTTACTGTATTTACGTTTATCCATAGCCAGCAGTTTCAAATAAGACTCAATGTCGCCCGCTCAGGCCCCATGGATGCAATTAACTATGGCCGCTGGCTTCGCTAACTTCACGTTTCTCAAAATGGAGCTGCCAATGATCAGAGTTGGTTTCTCAGCGGGTGTGTCGCTGAGTGGGGAAAATCTGTTAGAGACGTCAACAGGTTGGTGATGACCCGTGTGTCACGCCTTTGTGGTGAAGGCAGGGTTGAGCAGGTTAGAGGACCCAAATGCAGGACTCGGAGCAGGCAGGTACAGTTTAGTGATTTATTTAAACAACTAAAGGCGAGCACACTTACAGGTTGAGTGGTTGATACAGAGTCCAAAACAGAGGTTGTCCAAACCAAAAGCCAAATGGTGCAGGGAAACACGACAAAAGGGCAGACAACAAGCGTTCACACAGCAACTCAGGGAGACAGCATACAATGACCGACAAAGACAAGACAGAAACACCAGGTATATATACACAGGGACTAACGAGCAGGGCAGGAGCAACACAGGTGACAGACATGAGGCTAATGAGGCACAGACAGGGAGAGAGAGAGCAGGGGAAAACAGACAGACATGCAGAGGGATCACTGGGGTAACAGACATGACAAAGGTTACTAAACACTAGACGACAGACAAGTCAGAACCCCAAAACCCAACAGACCAAAACAACAGATAATAAAACTGACTAAAAGTACAAAACATGACATGGCAGACAGGATCGTGACACCGTGGGCTTTGAATGCTTATGACTATTCCTCCTTCGGACAGTCTCCCAGCCACCCCTTCCTGGCTGCTCAGGGGATGCCGGGGGACGGCTACCACAGGCTAACTCAGGCCGTTCTGCACAGACTACCGGGGACTGGCTAGCTACAGTAGTTAAAGACTGATCTGCCAAGGTGTGGAGCACCATTACAGCTAAAGGAGGCAGGAGTAACTGAACATCTGACACACCGAGCAGGAGAAAGTAGGAGAGCGAGAGGGAGAAGGAGAAGCCATCGCTAGCTGCTGAGCTAATGTCGCTAACGGCTACGCTAAAGTACTGTAGTGCAACCAAAACTTTTGAACAACTATGAGATTGAACAGCAGTCACTAAAAGATGGAAAGAAGTGTGAGTGCTTAGGCAAAATTACTGGAAGTAGTAGTGTTTAGCTGTAATCTAACAAATTTAACTGATATTTAGCGAGAGCAGCACAACACGCAAGCACTGGAAACGGAAATGAGTCAACACGCTTACCGCAGTACGTCAGCAACGTCACCCCAAAGACAAAGTTATCAATCAGAAAAGCACTGTAGTGCACCTACACTTTACTAATGAAATTATGAATAATATTATTGGGAAATATGGGCGGTCGCGGGTTCGAACCCAAGTTTCCCCGGCCTTTCTGTGTGGAGTTTGCATGTTCCCCTTCGAGGGGAACAAGGGTTACATCCGTAACCCGAGACGTTCTCCCCGTGTCTGCGTGGGTTCTCTCTGGGTGCTCCGGCATGCTCCCACCATCGAAAGACATGTGGACGAGGTTGACTGGTGACCCTAAATTGTCCTTAGGTGTGAGTGCAACTGGTTGTTTGTCTATGTGTGGCCCTGCGATGTATTGGTGACCTGTTCAGGGTGGACCCCGCACTTCGCCTGATGTCAGCTGGGATTGGCTCCAGCCCAGAATAAGTGGTTGACGATGGATTATTGGGAAAATTAAATATCATAAGCACTTGTTCAAAAAACTTATGTACATGCAAAAGACAACACAGTGCCTTTCTCTTGGCACAGCCCGCTAGCTTCCTTTTAAACAGGGTTTTGGAAAAGTACTTCTTTTGGTGTTTATCTTGTCTTTCTGAGGCAGAGACATCTGCGTCTTTGTTCTGATGAGATTCAGGTCCTAATTTAACCCAGTATGTCCTCATGTTCATCAATTTTATCCCAGTATGCAGGATCTGAGCTATAAGTTGAGGGATTTGTAGACACTTGTTCCCTCTCTGCAGCAACAGGTGAGGTCATCATGGATGACACGGCTAATTCCCTACGTCTGTCCCTACTCCATGCTTACCACTTCACCTCCACTCTCCTCCTGCTCTCTCTCCGCCTCGGCTTTGTCACTCTGCCTCGCACTGTCACGCGCCTCCTCCTCTGCCTGGCAGTGGCCATGGCTCTCCTTTACTCCTTCAAGAGCCTGTCCTGCTCTACTTTTTTTGGGGGGGTTTAGCCCAGAACACAAGAAACAGAGATCAGAGGGGGTGGGGGCTAGTAAGAGAAGTGATTGGGCCAGCCCAACATCAGTATAGAAAATGGTTTGTTCCCCCCTTCCCTGTGTTTCCCTTCGAGGGAACTCGAACTGCGTCGGTGACGACACTATGGGAACGCCTCTGGGCGTGGCAGGGCTGAACTATGAATGAAACTAATCCAATCCCATTGGTGTTGCTAGAACGGTAGCGTGTGACGGCGTAACCGGAGGGGTATATAAGCTGGCACACAGGACAAATTAGCCTTTTTTTATTCAGCAGGCACTCTGAGTATGTTTGGAAGCTCCACTATCGAGAAAGTTGTTGTCTTACCTGGAAATCCTGATGAAGCAGTAATTGCTGTGGCAACAGACCTCAGTTAACACCTATCCACCTCTTGTAGTATGGGTTAATCGGAAAGTTACACCCAACGTCACAAAGTTACTCCTGAAGTTACCAGGATAAGCCAGTTCCCTCGCTTCGTAGTACAGGCCACTGGTCACACAGCCACTTCTCACATGTGCAAACACTAATTGCTTAATTGATCACTAACCAATCACTGCTTTAGAATAGGTCAAATGTCAGATTGTTGGCATCCAGTGTTAATAAAACACTGGATGCCAACAATGGACAGAGAGCAAGTGGAGAAGAAGAGAGAGGGGCAGGGGACGACAACGAGGGCAAGGTCAAGAGGACAAGGAAGGTCAAGGAAGAGTTTTGAAGAGAAGGAGGAGGACGAGGGAGAAGAAGAGAAGGAAGGAGGCATCTCGGATGGGATCAGGGCCACACATATTAATCATGTGATCAACCATGGGTTAACCATGAGAGAAGCTGGATTGAGAGTCCAGCCAATTTGAGACGCTTTACAGTGGCGTCCATAATTTGAACCTTCAGAAACGAGAACAGGTTGCAACTATCTAATGACTATTTCAACATCACAGTATTGCGCTGTAAAATACGTATTTCTGTTTGGCAAGAGAAAATATATCTTGTGATACACAAGAATTTGTTCTTACTTTGGTATACATATGTTTATGGTTTTGTTTTCTTGTATGCTACTTTATACAACACTGTGTTGCTGTTAACAGTAATGTTTTGCCAAATAAATATTTGTGTTTCAACATTGCATTGGTGTTTACAGGTTGCTTTTCAACCCCTCTCAGCAGATTACTTTCATCACTCCTTCGGTACCTAAAAAATAAGTACAGCCGTTTTTTTCAGAATTATGGTATTAACTTGGTGCCGAAGTATCGGTTCTCATACCTTAGCCCTACATTCCACAAGCCACAGTAGAGTTTTCTGTGATTAGCGTTTTTCTCTAATCACTGTGATGAGTGGTCTGTGTTTTAAAAGAGGTTTTCAATGTGTCAAATTTTCAAACAATCTGATTTAAAAAGCTTGTCACAGGCCCAGCTAAATGAGTTATGGTCAAGCCTCACTTCTTGGCATTCCCTCCCCACCCCAAAAGGTATTTTGATACCAAATTGAGGACAATAATTAAACATTGACAACAACACAAAAATAATTAAAGTCATGAATGAATTTGGTTGTGACTCTGTTTGAATGTCCGCTCAAATGGGATAAACTGAACATTTGTTCTGTTTTCTGACAGCTGTGATGCGTCAGAGAAAGCCAGACTTGTAACCACAGACATCCTGCTGAAATGGTCTATCCGTACTTGTGACGTATGCTAATGAAGAAATACTTGTCTCGTAATAATGCCTTACTTAAAAAAGCAGCTTTTTGGACATCCTTTGTGATTGATCAGGTGTTGTAAATTTGACGAAGAATTGAGCTTTGACCAATGTCTGAATTGTATTTCATGTTTTACCATATTTGGAAGGCAGCTTGAGTTTTTGATCTCCTGATCTCCACCTGTATAAGAGAGGGACACAAAAAAGTTTCTCTCACTCTGAGGAGCAGTTCTTGTTGCTTTTCTGATCTCAGTAGATTAGACTCTTAAGCATAACATTCTTAGCAGCTTTATGCACAGAGGATTTTGATATTAGATTTGTTCAGCTTTAAATAAAAACAGATTGTTCATTCTACAATCAAGACAGTTCCTGTAAGACTCTTCTCTGAACGCCGACTGCCACAGTGTATCATCTAAAGGTATGGGTCCTCTTCGGGATAGGTGGACAATTTTAGTAATAAATTGATAATAAATTATCAAATTGATGTTGACAGCTAAACCCTAAAAATAAATCCTCTCAATTCTGATATCTGATTAATGATTGTTATAAGTCAGCTATATGGTCTGTTGCTGATATGATTTAATTATATTTAGTTGGTGGAAAATATTATTGATTAGTATTTGATCTGTATGGAAGCCCTAAGAGGTCATACATTCATACATTTTATTTACTCCATTTTCCCGTGATGACGAGATAATTTAATTTGTTTTCTCCAGATCTCAAGTTATTTATATTATAAATATGTTATGTTATAATCTCAAAATAATATAATGTCAGTTGGTCCACATCCATCAACCTCTCATATTTCCCAACAGCTATTTCAGAGGTGTGTCAAACACCACTGAATAATTCTGAAGGACATTCAAAAGAGTCTGTGGCTTGAAAGACACCCCTTTGAAATGGCCATTGGGAAATGTGAGATTGGATTCCCTTGAATGAGAAGTGCTGGGGAAATGAAAATAAGTGTCCATAGGTTGATGGATGTGGAAAAATCGGGACACAAACACTCCAGTAAACTGAACTTTATCTGCTTTCGGTCTTTCTCCTCCTCTGACCAATAAAAGAGGATCAAACATAAACTTTCTGCTTTTCAAAACATGTTCCTTTAGTATTCAGGGCGGAGCTGTTAAAGACGCTACTTAAAATATAAATAGCAGCAACAGACTGACCTGGCTTCTCAGACATTGGGTGAACCAATGACATCACCAATCATGAATCACTTGTTATTGGTTGGTAGATCTGTCGCTATTGGTCACCCTGGGGCTTTATACATACAGGCTTGGGTAAATCCCTCCCTAACAATAATGATAAAAACAATGTATGATTAAGTAAATACTGCACTAACTGAAGACTATATTCAGGTGATATGTTTCATGTTGTATTCATGCTATTAGCCTACCCTAATCAAGGACATGAATTTATGAGACACGTGTTGATTAAATTCGGCTGCGGGCTGAATGTTAGTCTACCAATAAGTCATGTGTTGGTGGCTGTCAGAACATGATCCATTGTCCAGACGCTTGTGATGCCTTGCTTCCAGTAGCTGAAGTTTGAACCTTATTCTGCTACAAAGCATACAATATACAAAAAATCAGAAATAAACTATACACTATGTTTCACAGGGCAGTGCTGATGAATCCACGTCAGAGTTCAAAAGTCTCATGGCCTGGGGAAAAAAATCAACTCACTGAAAAATAATGTCTCATTGACCAACAGTGAATCTAATCCAACAATTTTACTCGCTTCTCATCGACACCAGGCTGAACTCTTAAACCTGGTTGACTGTACCAGATGTTTCTGCGTACTGTCTCACAGTGGGTCTTACAAGCAGATGGAGTTTTATAAAATGGGGGTTAAACTTGGTCGGTTAGCTGGTGCTCATTGATTCAGCTTTGGCTGAGGTTTCTGTGAATATCCTCAATATCCAATATGAGCAAAACAGAACTGCTAAAGTGTTTTTGTTTTTGGAAAGATTAAAAATAAATAAAATACACCACCTTACAATCTTTCTTAGTGCCAAGAGTTGCTCTTACTACAGCCCCAAGGAGAAATCCAAAGCTCGACATGACATGACTCTACTAATTTATTGCAACGTTTTTGCAACTAAAGAAAACAACTGTAATGTTTGATGGTTGTTTCTCTCTCCTCTGACCTTAAGACACACAGTGTTTGACGATGATGTCCATGAAGATGTGGTATCTCTTGCTGCTCGGTGCCTTCCTGCCCATTGTTCCCACAGAGGCTGAAGTGGTGAAGTCAGTGGCCGACTGTGGCCAGTTTCTCCTTGAAGCAAAGCCACCACAGGTCCCAGGCATCTTGGAGGGCGGGAAAATTACGGACCAGAATCGATACAAACCCATATGCCAGACTTATAAAGATGAGAGAAAGTTTCTGACGCTCTACGACACCAAGAACAGGATCCCAGTGTTTTCTGCTTTAAAGTACAGAGGGGAAGGAGGAGGAAAGCCACCCTCAGACGAGTGGATGATAGAGCCACAGGTAGAGCCATTTTTGTTGTTAGATCCCAAATTACCCCTGTCCAGGAGGTACTGGTCCACCTCTCCATCTTAAACGGTCCGATCCTCCAGGCCTGTGGGTATTACCCTATTAGGTATGACTGGGGACTGTTGTAGAAGCTTCTGTATTCAAAAGTCTGAAGTGTCTTCTGGTTTTGTTTGCTGTTCAAATCCCCAACTCAGGAATGTGCCGATGATCCCGATCCGAGCTTGGTGCCTTGACATCAGCCGAGGAATAACGCTGATCTTTCTCCTGCTTATCCGTATATTCTCTCTTCATTTTGTCTTTGGTGTAATTGTGTGTGTAAGTTGGCGTATGTGTGTAAGCCAGGATGTGTCCATGTTTGGTCCTTCCACTTCTCCGTTTCCGTCCCTGATGTCTTCACCCAAACTCAGCAACTCTTCACACAATTATTTAACCTTTACCATAGTTGTTCTTACTTTGACCATATTAATTATTTTACCATGAAATTATCATTTTAATTAATTTATGTTCATTATCAATCAGATATCCTCTTTTTCAATCATCATCGCATCATATTTATGCCAAATCATCTTTTTTCAGTCATTAATTTCATTGCTTACAGCATTGCTCAGCTCTTTGTTATGCATATTGAAAGAAAGAACTTTACACTTCCCTTTACTCACTGTTGTTGCCAAAGGGAGAAAGGCTCCAGCTTTCTCCTTTTCGACTTGATAACAAAAGCGTGGGGATCGTATTTGACACCTGCTCTAACAGTACCACTAAACCAGTGAAGTAATCATTATCATGCTGCATACAACAACTACTTTTACTGTCCTTTTTACAAAAGATGCATGTCAGATGCTCGTCTACCAAATGCTTGTTTAACCCAGGTTGAGCTCTCTCACGTTAAAACAACTCTAACTGGTGAATTTATGGTTTTGCAGAGACTCCAGGCTGCAGTGCAGTCGCATACACCTCACTGCTAATCTATAGAAGGACACAGAATGACATTGTATAATTATTAATTAAAATTAAAGGATAAGGCAGCTGATATTCTATATTTTTATTACACCAACATCACGCAACATAGTTTCTGACTTCTCTACTCTTTCTTTGGCTCCTAAATCTTTAGAAACATCTCACAAATATATCATTTAATTTTTAAAAAGGCTAAGTTATTTCCTTAAACAGCTTTAAGGTTAAGTTACTGAAACAGGAAGAAATAGTTAATTCGTTAGGGACTATTTTCAGCAGTGGATGAATTCACATTTGGTGCTTTAGTGAGTATTTGGGGCAGCAGGACGGTGTATGTGGGACTGAGTCAGAGTAAACTACTGTGTGTGTGTTCATGCTAATAAAAGGAACATGCAACAATGCTCACTGATGTTTTTAAATGGTTTTGGTACAATAACGGAGCTCTATGGCTCAGAGGACGAAGAGATCAGGCTGAGCCTTTCCATGCTGCTGTAATTAAATGCTATTTTACTACACATTTAATTTACTTTACTACTATCCTTCCTGCATCAGTAACTTACATCTTTAACTCCTACAGCTTGAGAATGAAGAAGACAAGAACAAGAACATGTTGGATGTAGAAAGAGACAGGACCTACAACAACCAGGCTGGGGACAATGATTACAAAGACCAAAAAGGGTTTACCAGGGGCCATTTAATTGCAAGCTCTTATGGGTTCCAGATATCTGGCAAAATGTCCACCTACACCCTGACCAACATTGTTCCACAACAAAAAACATTCAACGAGGGAAGCTGGTACAAAATGGAGAAGTGCGTCAAATGTATTATGGACCGGCACTGTACCAACAATGGTGTTACTGAAGCCTATGTGGTAACTGGAGCACAACCCAACAACAACAACAAACAACTCAATAACAGGGTTAATATTCCTGACACGCTCTGGTCAGCATTCTGCTGCTTTGACTCCAAAAAGAAGAAATGGATCGCAAACGCACACTGGGGCAACAATGATCCAGAAATTTTATCTGAAAAGAAAACTCTGCCAACTAAGACTCTGGGAGAGCTCAAACAACAACTGGGGATAGAGTGTTTCATGAAACACAGTGTCCTAAGACTGTGTTCTTCACAAACGTTGACAACTGCCCATGCCCCCGCTCTGCTTCAACCACTTCGTCCCATCTCAATTAAAATCTTCCCCTTTCACACCCAACATTTGGTCCACTATATGCCTTGTCCTGCTTTCATCTGCCTGGCTCTTCATCATGTCTTTGGGGTTCTAACTGTATGAGGAAAATATAAATCTGTGAGGAAAAATTGGGAATCTCAAACAAGGCCTTTAATCTGTCATTATTCAATTATGTTGAATATTTAATCAAACGTTAAAGTTTGAAAAAAAAAGATGTATGTATAAAATGAACTAATTCAATACAGAATTAACAAACTAAAAAAATGATTTGTCACAAATTTTTGAATCTTCAGGCTAAACCGCTGTTTTTTTTTTGTTTTTTTTTTTACATTTTACTGTATTTCACTTTATTTTTAATTTCATTTGTTATGATGATGGGACTCTGGATAAGTGAAAGTGCCCTTTGCATGGCTTCAGATGGAAGACAAATGTGGAAAACATGAGGTTGTGAATGAAATAAACTGCAGCCTACACCTGATACTGTGCGTTAAGTGGTGATTTTATCTTTACATTGAATCAAACTGAGCTTTTATCAACGTCTCAAACTTCTCGTATGAAGAGAATATAAGTTATTCTATCTTCTTCTTCTTCTTATAATTATTTTACAAACATGTCCCTGTTGGTCTTCAGATAGTTTACTTGCAGAACCATACACAGAAGGCCAACCTGTGCAGTAAAAATCAGTGTAATATCCAACTGGCCATCTATACTTAATTGATCTCTTTTGAATATATTTTAAGATTCTGCCATGAGTCTTTTATTTACTGTGGTCCCAGGGCACCATCTAGTGTCCTTTTTGTATTTTTCCAATGAGAAGCTGTTGAAGAATAAAATAAATGAACAGCCAAAGAATTGTGCTGTGAAAGCCTTAATAGCTTCATATCACAATAGCTGTGATGGCGCAATGGATAAGATGCCTGCTTTTGGTGTGAGAGGCCCGGGTTCATCTCCCATTGTGTCCCTGAGCAAGACACTTAACCCCTCCTGAAGCGTGCGAACTCTGACATGTATAGCAATTGTAAGTCGCTTTGGATAAAAAGCGTCAGCAAACTGTATGTTCATATATGTTCTTCTTCAACATGTCATTCTTCAACAGCGCAGTAGCCATCACAGAAAATATCTTTATAAGCAAAACATGCCTTCTATTTTTTGTCAGAATACGACATGATTGAAAAGAAACATCAAAGCTTTCCCTATACAGTGTATCTTAGTCCGGTGGTGGAGGTCTTGCTCTTGCTCCGGATCCAGAGATTGATGGACAAAACCCTGCTCACAGCATGTTAACAAAAAGGGGGCCAAACTTAACACATATGTTTGCTGATCAAGTGTGCGGCACATCATTGAGTCTCTTAGCTGATGGAGCCGCACATTGTACCGACAGCGGTAGCATCGCAAAAAATAGCTGGCAGCTCTCACACGCATTTTTTTAAGGAAATGCCCATTCAGGTTCACTTATGTGTTTCTGTAGACTTTCTAGTTTAAGTCTTTTATTGAGGAGTCAAAATATTAAAATAGTCAAAATTTCAAATTGTCCTTACTTTGGACTTGGAGACAAATGCAAAACAGTGTGACCGTTTCAGTTGCGTATGCCCCTAAAAATAGATAGGCCTACGTGAGAATCATAAAAAATATGAGTAACATCCACCATGTCATGATTTGTCCTTGCCACCTCCTCTATCCTCATGTTTCGTTGCCTCCCTGCCTGCCAGCCCTACACAGTGTTCTTGGAGCCCTCTCACCTGTCTGCTCACTTCTCTCTCCTAAGTTCATCTGCCGTTTGCTGTTTGTAAATAAATCTACCTGAGTTGACTGTTCATCCATACAGCAAACCCTAACATACTTTAACAGTAATCTTTATTTAAAACGCAAATGTTATATTATGATGACTGATTACAGACTACTACTACGAGCTATGTTTACCTAAATGTTCAGCCTAAACACGGTAGGTTTTAGCGTTTAACCAATGCAAACATTGAAAGGAACATATTGGCTAAGTGATATACAGCAATGCCAGATATCTCAAACAAAAATAATAGTAATGTGTATTTCAGAATAAGGATATAACAAGGATAATGCTTTGCATACGTTGCTAATATAATGTGAATTGAAACTCACTCAGTCTGGATGTCTGAAGTGCTTCACTAAGTTAAAAGTGTTTCCTCCTTTAGTCTGAAAAGTTGATGGTACTGTTTATATTTTACTGTTTTGTGTGAGTGTATTATTCCCCCCTTTCTTTTTGACGACTCGAGGCGGAGCTGTTGCTGGAGCTGCACTTGTCGCCCTCTTTCAGCTTCACTTCACTTCTTGGCATCCTCTCCCCACCCCAAAGGACAATAATAACAAAAAAATGAAAATTATAAATGAAATTTGGATGTGACTCTGTTTGAATGTCTGCACACATGAGATAAACTGTTAACATTAGTTCAGCTTGCTGACTGCTGCTGCTGCAGAGAAAAGCAACACTTGTAACCACAGACATCCTGCTGAAATGGTCTGTCCATACTTGGGACCTGCGCTAATGAAGAAGTTCTCACCAGAATTATCTGACATCAACACCTTTCTTTAAATACCAGTCTTATTCATGTTTTAAAAATAAAGGCTTACTTAGAAAAGTAGCTTGTTAGACATTATTTATATCTGATCATGTGTGGTTTGACATAGAAGAATTGAGCTTTGACCAATGTCTGAATTGTATTAAATGTTTTTACCATATTTAGAAGAGCTCTTGAGTTCTTCCTGATCTCCACCTGTATAAGAGAGGGACATGAAAAGGTTTCTCTCACTCTGAGGCGCCGCTCCTGTTGCTTTTCTGATCATTGTAGATTAGACTTTTTATATTTTTACTTTCTTTATTTCTTGAAATACATTTTCTAAGGAGAACTAGAGAAGGAAGTTTTTGTTACAGCTGGCATAGCATTCTTAGCAGCTGAATGCATAGAGGATTTTGATAAATCATATTATATTTGTTCAGCTTTAAATAAAACAGATTGTTCATCCTACAATCAAAAGACCATTCCTGTAAGACTCTTCTCTGAACGCCGACTGCCACAGCCTCTCATCTAAAGGTATGGGTCCTCTTTGGGACAGGTGAACAATTTTATTAATAAATTAGTAATAAATGATGAAATTGGTGTTGAACATCTAAACGCTAAAATTGAACCCTCTTAGTTCTGATATCTGATTAATAATTGAGCAGTTTTAAGTCAACTAAATGATCTGCTGCTGGTAGTATTCAATTAGATTTTGGTAGTGAAAAATATTACTGAAAGGTACTTGATCTGTAAGGAAGCCCTAATCGCCACACATTCATACATTTGTTTTAGGATAATTTAATACTAGTGTGCCTCTTTAGTTCCACATCCATCAGCCTCTCACATTTCCTAACAGCTATTTCACAGGTGTGACATTCAAAAGAGTCTGTGGCTTGAAAGACACCCCCTTGGTATTTCCTCTGCCTTTGCTGGGAAAATGAAAATAAGTGTTAATGATGGATGTGGACCAACTACCTGCTTTTCAAAACATGTTCCTTTGGTATTCAGATAGTTTTATTGCTAAATGCATAAACTGTACTAAACAGCGTAAACCATTATAATGTCCAACTTGCTATAATCCAAATATGCTTCATTGATCTATTTTGAATATAGCCATATTTTAGGTCTGGTCCCACAAAGTCTTTGAAAGGCTCATTTATATCTGTCAGAGCTCCATCTAGTGACCAGTATTGAACTTTATTAATGGTAAGTAACACCATCTCACAAAACTGGGATCTCACAAAACTGATATTCATAAAGTGTGATCAATGAGCCTGATCCTTGTTCTAAATTAAAGCCCTGTCCGTCTGATCATGATCCATGATATCTGCCCTCCATATTGACAACAACGTCTATAATATCTTCATCTATTTTGAGCGTTAACATGCTGTTGTACTATGTTCAGACCACAAAGAGTCGGCTACACAGATTCATTAGGTGCGTTCGAGATGATTGTACATGAGCAGCAGGCCACTGCAGGGCTTAGGAATTAAAACAACGCCGTGAATTCGGACACATCCTACCTGCTTTAGCTCACTGTGAGCTTAGAATGACTGATCTCGCGGCCAGTGTTAGTGGTAACACATTACAAAAGTAACACAATTACAGCAATTTATTGCTTTTTGCTGTAACGCAGTAATATAACGTATTCCTAAAATAATTTTGTAATTTGTCTTGTTTTTACCATTACAAGATCAATAACGCGTGTTACAACGCATTAAAACCCGAAATAAAGTGGTGTTTTGTTTATTTAATAATTCTGGCTATGTTGAACTTCCTCGTAATTACAAGACACTAGTTTAATGTTTATCTGAGATATCCAAATACAGTAATGCAACACATTCTTCTTTGGGTTAAGCAAAAGAAAACCAAATGTTGGTGCGGTTGTGGAGAAGTAAACTGTAATGTATAAAAATTCTTTGTTCTTTCCTCTGATTAAAAAATACACAGTGTGTGATGATGACATCCCTAAAGAGACATTGTCTCCTGCTCCTCGCTGCCGTCCTCCTTCTGTCCTTCGTTCCCACAGTGACTGAAGTGGTGGATTCAATGTCAGACTGTGCTGAGTTTCTTCTTGAGCAAACTCCACCACAGGTCCCAGAAATCTTGGAGTGTGGCAACATCCTGAACCAGAACCGATACAAACCCATTTGCCAGACTTTTAAGAACAAGAAAAGGTTTGTGACGCTCTACGACACCAACAACAAGATTCCAGTGTTTTCTGCTTACAAGTACAGAGGGGAACAACAGACGGGACCCAAGAAAAGACCCCCTTGGAAGATAGAGCCACAGGTGTGTTTTTCTTTTGTTCATTTATGAAAATACTAATAGCATAGCCACCATGTCTTTCATTTCCTCTGACTCTGGCAGCAATCCACCACTGTTTCCACTAGTTGAATTCTGCCAGGTGGATTTCCATTTCCACAAGTGAGAGACAGCAGTGCTAAATTTTCCAAAACTGATTGGTCTTATAAAAAAACTCTTGTCTGCTAAAAAGTGAATATCTTGCTTATAGTTTGCTCATGATGTTGGTATTTGCTGATGAAGATCAAAAGACATTGTTACCCCTTGACATTGAGAAAGTATTCCTCCTTTTACTTTTCATTTTGATCAGTAAGATGACCTTTCATTGTTGTTTTAATCAGTGTTAGGGGGTAATTTGAGAATTGCTTATTTACTGTCCACCACTGACTCATACTTAAAACTTTTGCAGCTGGAAGAAAAAAACACCAACAACATGAGGGATGACAGATTAACCCGCCAGGCCAGCAACAATGATTATAAGAACAACAATGACTATAATAGAGGCCACTTATTTCCAAATAGTCACGCATTTGATAAAGATGACAAAATCTCAACGTTCACCCTGACAAACATCGTTCCACAAGCAGTGTCTTTCAATGGTGGCAGCTGGGAAAAAATGGAGAGCTGTGTTGAATGCGTCCTGGAAGAGTATTGCAATAACAATAATGGTGTCATTGAAGGCTTTGTAGTGACAGGAGCAATTCCCGGCAACAACAAACTCAAGAACAAAATTAATATACCCTCAATTCTCTGGTCAGCATTCTGCTGTTACAGTCACAACTTGCAGAAGTGGATAGCAAGTGCTCACTGGGGGGAAAACATTGCAGAAGAACCTAATTCTAAATATCTGCAGACAAAGACTTTGGAAGAACTCCACCAAAACCTGAGCACAATGGACACAAGATTTGAGGTGTTTCCCAGGACACTGTGTCCTCTCAACACGACTGTTGCTGAGTTCTACCAGGAACTGAAAAAAACCTGCAAGTGCCCACCCCAAGCTTCAACTACATCTGCCCTGCCCACTACCACAACTAGCATACCAACCAACCAGACATCAGCAACTATCATTCCCACAACATTTGAACCCCGAATTAACAAAACCAACCAGACATCAGCAACTATCATTCCCACAACATCTGAACCCCGAATTAACAAAACCAACCAGACATCAGCAACTATCATTCCCACAACATCTGAACCCCGAATTAACAAAACCAACCAGACATCAGCAACTATCATTCCCACAACATTTGAACCCCAAATTACCAAAACCAACCAGACATCAGCAACTATCATTCCCACAACATTTGAACCCCGAACTAACAAAACCAACCAGACATCAGCAACTATCATTCCCACAACATCTGAACCCCGAACTAACAAAACCAACCAGACATCAGCAACTATCATTCCCACAACATCTGAACCCCGAATTAACAAAAACAACCAGACATCAGCAACTATCATTCCCACAACATCTGAACCCCAAACTAACAAAACCAACCAGACATCAGCAACTATCATTCCCACAACATCTGAACCCCAAACTAACAAAACCAACCAGACATCAGCAACTATCATTCCCACAACATCTGAACCCCAAACTAACAAAACCAACCAGACATCAGCAACTATCATTCCAATTTCATACATATTTTGGATTGTATTGTATTTGCTTTGCTGATACCTGATTAACAGCCAGGCAAGTACAAACATATTGGACGGTGCCAATGTCCAGTGCCAGTATGAGGAGGGTGAATGCATCCAGAAAAGGACGTGTTTCCTGTTTCTTTACAGTGACACTCAATGAAAATGTAACCTTGATGACAATGTTTAACCATAACCACGTAGTCTGAGTTGCCTAAACTTGACCATAGCTTTATTCTGTGTTTGCCACCTGTTGACATGTAGGAAATATTATTTTAAAATCTTGACCTTTAAAAATGTTGTAAATGAATTTGAAGTGTCATTCTTACAATTGATCTGCAGCTCATATATAATAAATTCTACTATGTTTTGTAATTGTCGATTTTATTTTAATAGCCCCATAATCACATATTTGTCTTAAATAACTTTAAAATCTATACAGAAGGCATCCAATAGAATTTGTTTTAATTTGGTTGCATTCCTGAATAGATAAGAACCCAGGTGTTGGGCAGTGATCACCAGGCAGGAGTGTGAGTGCACAAGAAAGTATAAACAAACAACACATGAGTGTCATCAAAACGATAAGAAAAGCCAAGGCAAGGGACAAAAAGACCACTTTGAAGAATTGCTTGGGAAAATCCATTGAAGACATCCAGTTGCAAGCAATGTATTACAAAGAATGATTTAAGCAATAACAAATTGATTTTCCATAATTATGTAATACGAAAATGTTTTGATCTTTGCCATCAGTCCTTTTGATTTACAATTTTCCTTTTAGTCTTAATTTATGCATGCTCATCTTTTAAAAATTATTCAAATTATTACTTGGCTGACTGGAGTTCTAATGGTGAATATTAAGAATAAACTAATAAATAAGACAACATAAGGGTAAAGTTTGACCGACAGAGTGGAAAAGTACGCCAGTAAAAGGTTCCCAAGAATTAAAAACATATTTGGGGAAAAAAGGCGGGAATTATACAAGGGCACCGCCAAGAGTAGGAGGTGATTGTGGATTATAAAAAATGGTGTTCTCAATCAATCAATCAGTGTCTTTATTTGTCTCCGTAGGAAAATTAGTTTTCAGAGCAATCAAGTAGGCATTACATCATATTCCACAGAGAGAACCTTCAAACATACTAGCAAACACACACTAATACACATCACAGCAGATGATGCAAAAGGCCAAAACCCTTTAAATAAAAGAACAATAAAACATCTTAAGCATTCTAACATTAAAAGATGACGGTTTCTTTTAAAAGTACATTCATTGTTGTGTGTTTGTGCTTATGAAGTTAGACCAAAGATCCCACGCTCAAAACACTCTATGATCAGTGATGTCAGTGCAGTTGGTCGAAAGTCATTTGGTCCAATGGGTTGTGGAATTTTTGGCACTGGTATAATTGTAGATGCTTTCCACAGAGTTGGGACCTTGTGAAGATTAAAAGAGGATTTAAAGAGGGGAGTAAACACTGGTTCTAGCTGTTCAGCACAGTGTTTTATGACCCTTCCACATACGTTGTCTGGGCCTGGACTTTACCGAGGATTACATTTTCTAGAAAGCTGGAGGACTTCTGATTCCTTGATGGTAGGGGTAGGGGCATCCCAGTTGTAGCTTCCGCACTGTTGCCCCTCTCAAAGTGACAAAAGAATGTGTTGAGCTGGTTAGCCAGATCTATTTCCTCACTACTCTGCAAAACCAGTGGTGAATTTGCCCTGCCCTTGTGTGGAACATCAAACATAGTTTTGAATCCTTGCCATATCTCTCTGGGATTACCAGATGCCAGTGTGGCCTCTATCTTTTGTTTGTAGCTGTACTTTTCCAGCTGTATTTGTCTTTTAATCTGTCTCTGTGAGTCCTTCCTCACTGTTTCATCCTGATTTCTGTAAGCTTTAAGACACCCATGGCTTGTCATTAGGAAATACTTTCGTGGTCTTGATAGATATCACAGAATCTACACAGAAGTTACAGTAATATAACAATGATATGGAGTATAGGACACAGACAACACGGTAACAAAAAACAAACAAAGCGGCTTGAACTGAGCAGTGTCTTCCCCACAAACTGCGCACTCAGTTCATCTTCAAATAAATAAAAACTTTATTTGCACCGGCTGACTCCAGTAAGTTTTTGGACTCCAAGTAGCTGACTATTTTGACAAGATTTTTACAAGAGCGAAGACCAACTCCTTCAGGTCAGTAAAATTATGGGTTCGAACTCTGCGCTGGACGTTCCTGAGGACCAGGTGGTGAGGGAAGTTCATCTTCTGTGCCTCACGGACAATTACTGAGTATGTTACAGCACCTAGAGAAAATGGTGGTAATAATGATGATGAAGATGTTACTGCTAGAGTTAATAGCAACTTCTATGGACAGGGAACTAAAGTCAAGCAAACAACAATATTAAGTGAGATAACAGGGTATCATTCTACCAAAGGACTGTCTGTACCTTATAGAATGTAAAAAAAATAATAATTAAAGTTTCTTTCTTTTCGCAGAAGTCTATCCAAATGTAGCGCTGAACATTTACTGAATTTGTAGAAAATTGGCTAGAGAAAATGGAAGTTTCCATCCATTACTGTTTGTTTATTGAGATAAACCGCTTGTGTTGCTAATTCTCCAGACAGTGCCATCAAACCACGGAAGAAGAAGAGGATGCAATGAGATGACGTCATTGGAAGCTTAAGTGACGTTCAAGTACATCATCATTTATTCACTAACTATGTTTCCATTGCACTTAGTCGCATTTTGTTTTTACTGACACACAAACTTTTCCACATTAACCAAGCATAAACATGGATGTTTGGACAGACTAGTTTAAGATTTTCAGTTTAGAAAAATGGTACATAAAACACAAGGATGGAAACAAGGGTTGAGCGTTTACATGGTTAAAATGAGTATCTGGTACAGATAATTTACTTTTCACGAGTATGAATAAAATGTGTTAATATTTGCTTCTAATAAAGTATAAATATAGCAACCTTTTTTTCTCACTATTGTAATAAAAAAAATGCTTTGAAGCTGAATTCTTAGGCTGTTTTATAAGTAGTTTTCTAATAAATATAGCAACTTATGCTCAATCCATACCAATTTCAGGCATAAATAACACTTTCGGTTTGTCCCGCCCTCATCAGGGTTAAGACCTGCCCATTCAGAGTACAAACACAGAGTAGAGATAATTGCTTCTTATGCACTCTGGATGGTGTAGTCTGTGCCATGAGCTTAATAACACACTTTTAATAGTAATCAATTAGTTATTGAGAAAATTAAAAACAGTTTATTTGAGCTATATATATATATATGCCACAGGTCGCACGCCTCTGGAGCAACGAAGGGTTATGTGTCTTGCTCAGGGACACAATGGTGTCTCACAGTGGATTTGAACCTGCATCTTTCACACCAAAGTCTTATCCACTGCCCCATCACCACCCTAGAGGATGGGCGCATTTTCCAAAAGAGGTGTTAGCTCGTATCCAACAGTCACATCCAGCACATTAATATTAAAAATACTGTAGAGAAAAAGTAAATGATTTGGGTCATTAACTATAAACTATTAAATCATGTATTTTTGTAATGAGACTAGCCATGCTAGCAGCTCTGAGAGGTTGTATTTAGGCAGAGTGGTGCTGGGAGATAAATGTTACTGAAGCAGCCAAAGCAGGTTTTCATTTCCAGCCGGTTATCGTTGATAAACTGTCGTTAGCAGATGTAATTAGTTGGAGCTAGATAATTATGGTAATTTTAGCTCCATGAGTTTTTAATGTTCCTAGCTGACATGTTTTAAAACACTTTATGGCTACTAAGGCTGTCCCCAACTAAGGATTTACGTAGATGAATCAGAATCGTCAAGTCCTGCCTATAGTCGACTGATAGTCGAATCATGTGTATTTTTGCGGGAGACTGCATATTATTATTATTATTATTATTTTTAAATAAAGCACTTAAATAGTTGATAGATAAATAGTCTGCAAATAGTTGTATTATTTTTCTCTGTTATTTTTAATATTCTTATATAACTTGCATTGTCTATTCCATATTTATATATTTATTTATGTCAACTGTATGTCTAAGTGTAGCACCTTATCACCACGGCAAATTCCTCATATTTGTGAAACACTACTTGGCAATAAAGCTCCTTCTGATTGTGATTCTGATAAAATTTTCTAATGATTTTTGAAAACAGAATTTGCTTATTAGTGTGGCTGAAAGAGGGTCTTTGTAGTGACAGAAGATGGAGAATAGACTGGAGAGGGGAGATTATGAAAACTCAAAGAGGGAGAGGGTCAGAGAGTGCTTAGGCAAAATTACTTGAAGAATAAGTGTTTAGCGGACAGTTGGCCGCTGTAATGACTGTAATGACTAACAAATTTAACTGGTATCTAGCGAGAGCAGCACAACACACTACCAACACACAAGCACCGGAAACGGAAATGAGTCAACACGCTTACCGCAGTACGTCAGGAGTCTAGTGGGCTGTCATGTTCAGCAGGAAGTGGAATTCGAGTGGATATGAAGCTTGGGGAACTGACGTTGCGGGCAGTTGGTCTTGCCGGACTGGCAGTTTACAGGTGCACGCTGTGATTAGCAAATGGCAAACTCCAATAGGCACTTGTTGGTGAGCCGCGGGTGTGTTATGCTTTTGTCCTCCGCGTGAAGAGATGGTACGCTGCGTGTCATGTAGCTGTCCTGCCACGATTGCTTTATCCATCAAGAGAGCCCAGGGTCAGGGCGGCGTCTGGCTGCAGCGTAGCAGCTGGCGACCGCTGTTATGAGGAGAGCCCCATGTAACGTTATGGGGATGCTAACTTAGTCGGGGAGACCCAGGTAGGGATTGTCTGCATAGTTGGTGTGATTTGAACATGTTTTCTATTATCTTTTATACATAGCCTACATGTGTACAAAATAAAATAAATGCAACAACTGTACAGAGCTGTGTTTAGTTTAGTTTGGGTTGCAGGTAGTGAGTCACTGTCTTGGTGGTTTTTCTTTCTTATGGTCTGGCTTAGAGCTCATTCTGCATGTGTGAAGAACTTGCCCCTAGCAGCCTACATTGATTGTGTGCTCCCCTTGCGCTGGGTTCACATGTCTGCTGGTCATTATATTTACTGCATGTCAGCTAGTGTGTGTTTATTTTTTGTTTAATATAGGTTTACATTTTAATATAGCCTAACTGCTTTCCAGTCAGACTTGCCTTCAGGTTGCTAGGGACCTGTTGTTTGTGGCTCCAAGGGGGGCCTACACTTCTTCCAGTTTCTTAGCTGTCCATCACCTTCATTAATTGTATTTCATCTATTTAACCAAGAATAATAGAGCTAGAGGCTGATGTAATGCATTTCTTGGGACCACTAGGTAGGATTA